AAATTTTAATAATTTGTAATAATTTTTATATAATTTTCATATAATTTTAATTTAATTTTTTATATAATTTCGATATCATTTTTATGTAATATTTATATAATTTTCATATGATATTTATATATTTTTCAAATAATTTTATATAATTATCAGATAATATTTATGTAGTTTTCATATAATTACATATAATTTTAATTATTGTATTTTGTCAATTTTCGAATAAATTTCTGAGTATTGGTTTAGAAGCTGTGGATAACTAGGCTCGTTTCGAAAAACCCTCGAATTTTTGATTTGCTAATAATCAAATCAATCTCGAGTGAAAAAAATGTTTTAAAAAAAGAAAGAGCTACAAACATGAACTTCTGTCGACAAAAAATCGCACAGATACAGGTCTGAAGCCCAAAACGGATCGTCAGGGAAAGTAAGGCAGCCTTACTTTCCCTGACGATCCGTTTAAATGAAACCTAGGTAGGTTTGTCTGGCTCACTAGGTGTATCTCCCCCCTCTCTCTCTCTCTCTCTCTCTCTCTCTCTCTGTATATATATATATATATATATATATATATATATATATATATAAAAAAGATATTTTTTATGTTTATACATTCTTTTTATAGATACAAATATTTAAGTAAATGCTCTGTTTAAAATAAACAGTATTAAGCAACATTTACCGGCCTGAATATTATAAACAGAGCATTTACATAAATATTTGGTTTAATAAAAAAGAATACATAAACATAAAAATGACTTAAAATAATTGTCGGACTGTCCATTCCATAATATATATATATATATATATATATATATATATATATATATATAGAGAGAGAGAGAGATAGATAGATAGATAGATAGATTAAAATATGTCATTGTTACACGTCATCTATAAAAATAACGTATATACTAAAAATAATCGGCGTTATTTTCTCATTTTATAATCTTTCTCTCTCTCTCGCTCTCTCTCTCTCTCTATATATATATAAAATATATATATATATATATATATATATATATATATATAGGTAGTTAGAAACTTACACATATACATACATTGAACGCATGTCTATGTATATAACCCTACCATGTATGATCATATATATATATATATATATATATATATATATATATATATATATATATAGAGAGAGAGAGAGATTAGAATATGTCATTGTTACACGTCATCTATAAAAATAACGTTTATACTAAAAATAATCGGCGTTATTATCTCATTTATAATCTTTCTCTCTCTCTCTCTCTCTCTCTCTCTCTATATATATATATATATATATATATATATATATATATATATATATAGGTAGTTAAAAACTTACACACATACATACATTGAACGCATGTCTATGTATATAACCCTACATATGTATGATATATATATATATATATATATATATATATATATATATATATATATATATATATATATATATATATATATGTGTGTGTGTGTGTGTGCGTGCGTGCGTGTTTGGGAAAATGTGTAAATGTGGGGCAATTTTTTTTTACTTATTTATGGCTCGTCTTGAGGTACATCATTTTAAATTCACGGTTGACTTACCCAAAAACGGGAGTTTTTGAGACAGCACAGAACATTTACCGAAAGAAGAAATAGATGAACGTCATAAACTGATCTTTGGGTGGATATATATATATATATATATATATATATATATATATATATGCAATGGTGAATGTAAAAAAGAATCCATTTAATTGGCCAGTCGCGAAATTGGTGACAATTTTGTTTATTCCGTTATCGATAACCGTTCTTTTTTCTTCCACCAACACCAGAACCCGTATTTTTTACTCTTTAAAGGAAAACTAATTAGGTTCTTATTGGATTTCGTCTTGAGGGGTGTCGCAACAGCTATGGACACTGATTTGTCAAAAGGGCTGGTTTTATAGGTCTTCCTCTAGTGGTTATATTTACACGCGGCCTGCTTATTATGTTTTTAACAAAGATTTCTCGACGCTACCTTGCCCAATGTTGCAACTTTGTTCCATACTTGTTGGTGTGCCCTCTCTACCTTCCTAATATAAATTATATATGTTATATATATATATATATTATTATATTCCTTATATAATATATATTATATAAGGAATGCCTTTCTACGTTCTTATTTATGACTTCTACATAACATTACTATGATTATTGGTATCGAACTTCAGATATATGTGATGAATTATTTTCATCTCAGTAAACCATTTCTCGAAGAAGAACTCTTTCTCTCGTTCTTTAATTCTCCCAGTTCAGACCTTTACAACTAGGAACCGCCACGCGATGTACACTGCGTCACCTCATTTCACTTTCACTTCGTAGCCTCGTCAGATACAGACGTTTATATGGATGCTATGCATGGCGGAAAACCCGTTCAGAAATATCTAAACTCTCATACAACCGCTTCCAAAGATCAATGTTGAAAAAAGGCTTTGAGCAAATGAAACCTGAGGGCCTTGGCAAAGATCATCCCTCTTTGAATGAGACTTTCATTATTATTAGTAGTAGTATTAGTATTAGTAGTAATCCTATAGGTATAAGAAACTGCACTCGTTCGAAAAACCTTCGGTGTCTTGATTTGCAAATAATCAAACCAATACCAAAGGGAAAAAAGGTATAACAAAGAAAGACCCAAGAACATGTTCGTTAGCCGAAAATAATCGTCCAGCATGCAAGTTCAAATCCCAAAGAAAAAAAACCGATACGAGTAAGCAAAATAACTAAATAAATACAGTAAGTAGAGAAAAACCTAGTTAAACCTAGAGAGTTACCAACGTTTCACCTAAGCGGATCGTCAGGAAGCCAGCCTTCCCTGACGATCCGCTTAAATGAAAACTTGGTTTGTCTCGCTCTCTAGGTTTAACTATATATATATATATATATATATATATATATATATATATATATATATATGTGTGTGTGTGTGTGTGTGTTTGTGTGTTTGTAATTAGTAATTGTACCGCGTTCTTATCTGAAGAAATGAATAAGTATTAAACATTTTTTCAAATAATTCTTTTCACTATATAGATCTCTCCCTGGATCTATATAGTGATAGAGCTAAGATATTATTCAGTTGTATGGATATGAGTTTGTGACTCTTGGTTTTACGCTTTTAGGATCAGCAAATAAACTGTTTTATTTTTAAAAATGGGTCTATTTACGATTAAAGCATAAATTGATCTATTTTCAAACCAGATTATTTTTCCCGAGGGAAATTATCTTTTCAGCTCCTTATCCGAAAAGTAAACAAATCAATTTCTAAAGAATGAATGGATTTAATTTAAATCCGACATGGATTAAAATGGAACTAATGTGCCGCGAGATCGTCTTAAGTGTTCCGTGAAATATTGTCATAACATACATATATATGTTGAAAGTGATAATGGTACCTTATTTGAATTAATGAATAAGTATTAAACATTTTTTCAGTAATTCTTTGATATGTTATTGTCGTTTGGAAAACTAGAGCAAGGTCGGGTAATTTTGATATGTTTCCTCCAATGTGTACTCCCTGAATTAAAGACATGATCCCTTTTAAATTTACCAATTTGAAAGCGTTCGACAAAACCATCGACTATTATTGCGAACAGAAACGTATGATGGAATTCGAAATCCCATCATGAATGTTCCTTCTAATATTGGATTTCAATTATGTAAAGAAGAAGAATTGGCCACCATTTCTAATGATCGAAGGCTGAAAATAAAACATTCGACGTTAGCCATTGATACATTTTGGATTTCAATACAAAGAGAATATCCCAAATTAGCTAAAAAAGCTTCATCATTTTTATTGCAATTTTCTACTTCTTATTTATGTGAATTAGGCTTCTCAATCCTAAATAACATCAAAAATAAGAATAGGTGAAGACTATGCCCAAATGAAGAAAAAATGAGGGTCTGGTTATAGGACATTAGACCAATCATTAGAATATTTGTCGGATTTAATCCATTTCATATAATATGTTAACATATATATATATATATATATATGTGTTAAATATCATCACAGTATATATATATATATATATATATATATATATATATATATATATATATATGTGTGTGTGTGTGTGTGTGTGTGTGTGTGTGTGTGTGTGTGTGTGTTTGAAATTAGTAATGGTACCGCGTTCTTATTTGAATAAAGGAATAAGTATTAAACACTTTTTTCAAAAAAGTTCTTTTAACTATTCTTTGATTATATTATTGTCATTTGGAAAACTAGAGCAATGTCGGGTAATTTTGATATGTTTCCTTCAATGTGTACTTTCTACATTAAAGACATGACCCCTTTTAAATTTACCCATTTGAAAGCGTTCGACAAAATCATCGACTATTATAGCGAACAGAAACGTATGATTAGATTCGAAATCCCATGATAAATGTTTCTTCTAATATTGGACTTCAATTATGCAAAGAAGAAGAATTGGCCACCATTTCTAGTGATCGATGGCTGAAAATAAAACATTCGACGGTAGCCATTGATACATTTTGGATTCCAATACAAAGGGAATATCTCACTATATATATATATATATATATATATATATGTGTGTGTGTGTGTGTGTGTGTGTGTGTGTGTGTGTGTGTTATTTAACGAGACTATACTGCATATATTTTAATATTTAATTAAAGTTTCTCGTTAATTTTATATTTCTGTCTTGTTCAGAAATGATGAACCATACTTTCGTTATCTTACAAAGAAAGGAAAGCATAAGAGACTTTAGCGCTTCATTACTCATATATAGGATATTGCTATTTCTTCTACTAATAACAGAAAAGTCGGATCAGAATTTAAAAAGAGTTGCTGTAAGGTCCTCGTTGAAACCTTTGTATGTCGATCCCTCTCCGCAAAAATCCTATTTCTTTTCCTTAGGCTGACAGGTAAGCCACCGGATTTTAAACCCTTACCAGACTGCCCAACCCCGCCAGCGCATCATCAAATATCCGACCCTCACCGATATTTTTCCTTAGTCGACCCAAACCAAACCTATCGCTCATTCCAGCCAGGTCATCGCCTCTCGCCTGCATCGCCTTTATCCAAATCAGGAAATTTAGTAAGAACAAAGCGGTCACTCAACAGCGAAGGCTCACTGCTTTGTTAGTTAGTTTGCCCGCTCAATAAAAGTCTATGACGATGATGACAGCCGCTTTTAGATGAAAATCCCGGCCGCATGGTTTTCCTCGCCATTAGCCAAGACTTCGAAAGCGGAACTATCACGCGACGACATTTTCCTGTTGGCTTTTTTCTTCTTTTACTTTCGCCTCAAAGACTTCGACATGGAAGACAACTGGAATTTAGTATAATCCGTGCATTCACTGGGAATATCGACTTTACAATCGACGACTGATTGGCTAAGACAAAACAAAAATAAATAAATAAATAAAACACTCACGCATTTCCCTCTATGTAGCCGTCGCTCCAGACTCTGCGAACCACACGCCCGGTCCACCATCGCCAGCCGCCTCCCAAAATATCGCTAATCGGGATGTCACTTATTTGTCATGTCTGACGTTTGATCTATTCCTGGCAAATTCTGACTTTATCGCAGTTTCTTAAAGAAAACGCCCTTCTCCTTTATATCAAGTACATGTCAAACTTACGGAGGATCGCTTTGTGGCTCTTGTGGATTTGACTATCTTCATGACGAATAACATATCATCTGGGATCACGAAAGAGTCGTGAGTCAGAAATGCAGGTTCGAACCCTGATCGGAATTTCTTTTATATCAACTTTGCGTTGATGCCCTTGAGATAAGTTACAAGACGCCGTTTCTCTTCAGTGTGCCACATAGAATCACCTGGTTGTAGACGTCTCTTCCCTCTTGGCTTGCTTCGCGAACGAAGATTCATGAATTGGGATATCCACGCCGACTGCAGACACGCTGAAGGCCGACCAGGCCGATACGGGACAGGCAAGTCTGGCCGCAGCGACTGTTTGGTCTGGTATAGCTAGCTGTTGAGGCTTCACAGTCTTTCGTCCTGCGGTGTTTCTCCTTCAGGTTGGCCGTGCAAGAGTCCTCAAAGATGGTGACGGCCTGGTGGACAATGCAGCGTCAGGTTTGACGGTCAGCAGCAAATGTCGACCACTGGCGATGGTCAATGTGGCAGGTAACGTGGGACTTTTTGAGAGAGTTCCTATAACGCTTCCTTTGTGCCCCGGTGGCCAGTGGAGAGTACGCCATACAAGACTACTTTAGATAGGGGACAGCACAATGTGAGTCATGTTTTACTGAAACAAAATCGAATAGGCATACAAAGCGAAACTAGAGAACTAAGTGTCGAAGAGATCCACCGTCACGTCCGTTAATTAATTGCATGGCACAAGAAATTTATGGAGACAGAGACACCGTCAGATAAAGGGAAGAGTGGACAATAAAGAACATTCGTGAAAAACATCGATCGTGTAAGACAAGCCTTTCAGCGTTCTCCTACAATGTCCATCCATACTTCTGTCAGTTACAGTTGCCACGTTCAACAGTACAAAATGTCATTCACAAGAACTTACGATTGTACGCTTACAAATTGCAAGGTACAACTCTTGCAGGCACCAAGGACAAATGATAAACCATCGATGAGACTAGGATGTTGGAATTTTTGGGTACCCTGGTGTACTAGTCAGCCAGTCAAAATGAGCTGACTCATTTTATAGTTCATCAATAGAAGGGTTAACCAATCAGAAGGCTCAAAATATTCAATGCGACGTGTATAAAGGCAGACATGTTTTTTCCCGAATATTCACTGCCAGTCTTTCATATCGAAGACTGAAGAATTATGGAACAGCTGCTGGTGGTATTGGCGATATAGTCAGATTCAGTAGAGTGTCTGACTCGTGAGTGTTAATCTTTGACGTTGTTTCATTGAACAGATTACGTATTGCACTGTATTCTATATTCATGGAATATGGTGAACATGGTCAACATAGGATATGGCAAGAAATCGAGTACCGTTTTGATATGCTTCGTGCAATTAATGGCATCCGTATAGAGGTGTATTAAATCAATTTAAAAAAAAAAACAAATCTTCAATATCTACTCCTCGTTTTGTAACAATTTTCATATATTTGTCTGTTCATTTGCTTTTGTAATATATTTTTTAATTGTAAAATGATTTTTATGGACACCCTATATATATATATATATATATATATATATATATATATATATATATATATATATAGCTTGACTTTTCCTGACGATCCGTTTAGGTAAAAACCTAGGTAGGTTTGTCTGGCTCACTAGGTGTATCTAGGTCTGCTCTACGGTTGTATTGAGCGCTTTGTTAGTTAGTTGTTTACTCGTATCGGGGTTTTTTCTTTGGGCTTCAGACCTGTATCTGTGCGATTTTTTTGGCGGCAGAAGTTCATGTTTGTAGCTCTTTCTTTTTTTAAAACCTTTTTTTCCCTTAGCAAATCAAAAATTCGAGGGTTTTTCGAAACGAGTCTAGTTATCTATATTTATATGTATATATATATATATATGAGACATTTTTATGTTTATACGTTCTTTTTTTAGATACAAATATTTAAGTAAATGCTCTGTTTATAATAAACAGTATTAACAACATTTGACGGCCTGAATAAACATAAAAAATAAAGTCTTAAATAATTGTCGTTCATTTTATAATGTATGACGTCATTTGTTTACATTTGGATACGCATTGAGCAGATATGAATGAATGAGAGAAAATCATGGATAATTGTGTTTAAAAACAGTAAAATTGTCCTTGCTAAACGAACGCTCCTCTGTGGCCCCATCGGTTAAGGCACGTCAGGCTATATGACGGTTCCGTATGGATACAGGTTCGATTCCTATCGGAGGACGCATATTTTCTATGAAAATTTCTCGGACATTCAGGCCAGTAAATGTTGTTTAATACTGTTTATTATAAACAGAGTATTTACTTAAATATTTGTATCTATAAAAAAAAAACAACGTATAAACATAAAAATGTATTAAATAATTGTCAGACTCTGTCCATTTCATAATATATATATATATATATATATATATATATATATAATAAATATATATATATATATATATATATATATATATATATATATATATATATATATATTAAATACGTGGTGTACGAAATTAATATACAATTAAAAAATATATTCCAAACGCAATTGATGAGATATCCTAATCAGATTTGTTTTACGTACTCAGTAGATATCATAGTTTTCTAATCACATTGCATTTGTGTAGTTCATGTATCCTGTTGACAAAAGAGGTACGGCTAAATGAACCCGTCCCATGTACAGATCAGTGGCTTGGAAGGGATGGTCCAATTCCCTGGCTACCTTGTTCACCAGATATCACTCCTCTGGAATTCTTTCTATGGGGTTATATTAAAGATATCGTGTATCGTACAAAAATACGGGACATCACTGATCTAAAGCAAAAGATCACTGATACCATTGCAACCAAGGATGTCGCTATGTTACAGCAAACAAGGCAAGAAATCGAATACCGTTTTGATGTATTCCACGCAATTAATGGCGACCATATAGCGGTGTATTAAATTAGTTAAAAAAAAATCTTCAATATTTATTCCTCATTTTGTAACAATTTCTACATATTTGCTCATTTGCTTTTTTAATAATTTTTTTTAAATTGTAAAGAGATTTCTGGACAGTCTGTATAGCTAAAACTGCATTTTTAAACAGTGGGTGTCTGGTTTCTTATGCTAACAATTTATTTTCTTGCCCTTATCGTTCAGATCTAGCTGAAAATTGACGTGACAGTTTAGTACGGCGCTTAATTTTGAAACGTCTAGATACCATGGATAAGAGCTCGTTCAAACTGATGCCATGAAAGTCTTTGTGAAAAAAAAAAAAGCACAGAGATGTAACTTTATAGCGGTAGGAAAATCTAAGAAGCGTTATAACAGACCAGCGAAAAGTTTTCAAGAAATCTGAAGTCGCATTGGAATAGCGAAAAGAAGATTTCCAAAAATTAAACAAAGTATCAGGGAACAGGAAATTATCGAACAAAGAATGTCAAACTGTTAAAGATGACAGTTTCATTACAGATAAAGATGAGACTTAAGGCAAGGGAAAATTTTACACCGATTTTTACCCTGTACAAGGCCAAAACGCCATACGAAGTAGAAAGCTACAGAGTAAGAGGCAAAATTCATGGGGAGGGATAGACATTGACCCTTGACTTGAACAGGGTAAGATTGTAGTAATCGAGGAAGCAACGTCGTGGGAGTCAGTTCCACAAGTTTAGACCTCACCAAATTCTAGTGTCTCGTGTTTTCGAGATAACACAGGGAAATAAATAGGTAAGACAAACTCGTTGGTAAATAATGAAATAGAAGGTGTACTACTCGAAGGTAAACTTAGACTTAATATTAATTTGGTATTTACCCGAGCTCCGCACAAGGACGTTTTAACGTCGGTTTTCCGAGCCCCTAGCATCGGGCAAAATTTTCCCGTAGACACCGTAATAACGGGGTCGGGTTTGTCTATCTCCCTAGACGAGACTCTGCACATCGTCATAGACTCGTCTGGGTCCCTCTCTGCTGAGGCAGAGATTTCGTCAAGCACTAAGAGCTTAGCGCGCGACTAAGACCTAATACTTACTCGGTATTTTCCTCGAGCTCCGCACAAAAAGGGATGTGGCACAAGGAAGTTTTAACGTTGGTTTTCCGAGCCCGTAGGATCGGGGAAAATTTCTCCGTAGACCCCTCAATAACGGGGTCGGGTTTGTTTACCACACCAGACGAGACTCTGACCTTCAGTAAAGCCTCGTCTGGGCTCCTCTTTGCACGAAGGCAGAGAGTTCTACAAGCACTAAGTTCTTAGCCCGCGGCTAAGATCTAATGCTAACTCTAACTACTAAACGGATGATTCCATTCATTAATGTATTATATGACAGTCACGTTCATTTTTCATCATCTAAGAATTTTCATATCTATCTATCTATCTATCTATCTATCTATCTATCTATCTATCTATCTCGTGTTATCGAGATAACAGACAGAAATACATGTTGTGGATTCCGAGATGAAATTCGGTCTCCAATGAATGGCAAACGCAAGAAATAAAGATAAGAAATTAAATGTATTTACACAATAATACAATGGGTAATACTGTTAGTAAATCCAGGAACGCGGTTAGTCGTAATAATAATATATATATACAGTCTCGAAGTAAGACTTCCTTAGAGTCTACGTGCTTGTAACTGACTTCTACAAGCGATTACCTCACACTATTACTCTACCTCCAACTCAGTCACAATCTCTGCTCACTCTCTCTCAATCTCAATCTGGCTGACTCTGGGTATTTAACGGCACCAGTCCAAGTAACACTCTGGTCGAGTTCACTTATATCAAAAAGGGGTGGACCCCTTAACAATAAATAAGGGAGGCAATCTCGTAGGTAAGTAATGAAATAGAAGGTTTAGTACACGTAGGTACACTTAGCAATTGATCTAATTCTAGTTATTTGAGCTCCACACAGAGCGGGATGTGGCACAAGGCCGGTTTAATGTGTTTTTTTTTTAAGCCCATAGACCCGTGCAAAAAGTATGTAAAAAATGTTATACAGGGATCGGGTTTGTCTACCTCCCCAGACGAGACTCTGCCCTTCGGCATAACCTCGTCTGGGTCCCTCTACAAGCACTAAGGGCTTAGCGCGCGGTTTAAGACCTACTGCTAACTCTACTCAATTCCACTCAACTCGGACAATTGCATTCATTTATCATCATTCATGTATGACACAAAAGGAATGACCAGACTAACCAATGGCTGTGGGTTTCCATTGTGAGAGTACCGAGTTGGCATTTTGCTCGCTGCTGTTTCCGACTGGTCGTTATTAGCCTGGGCTTTTTGATAGCGATTAGAGAGGGTGCTCTGATCAATAGTCTCATCATATCGGGGTATCTCTAATGCCTTGTCGCGTATAGGAAGGTGTCCCTGCATGTATTTTTGGTGGATAAACCTGAGACCACATTATGTTCTAACCTATCATCTCTAACCTAGATACCTGCAAATCACGTAGACCTGATGGCATTCCTGTAACAGTCAATAAAAATGTGCTTCTGAACTGGCTCCTGTTCTCTCGAATCTGTATAATAAACTTCTCGGTGTCACCTGCTTTCCTACCTATTATAAGTCATCATCTGTTCGAGTTTTTAAGTACTCTAGTGAACCATCCGACCCTTCCAACTACCGGCCTATTAGCCTTCTATTTTTAGGAAACTTCTAAAGGCCCTAATTAATGCCAAATGGTTCATCATCTCCCAATGCAGGGTCTTTTCTCAGATAAGCAATATAGCTTTCATTTGTGCAGTTAGACTGCTGATGTACTGACGATAATTGCGGAAATAGTCTATCGATAAAAAAGGTGAAACTGTAGCTTTGGATATCTCGAAAGCCTTTGGTAGGTTTTGGCATACAGGTCTTCTTACAAGCTGAAAAGTTACAGTGTCTCCAGACACATATTTGAAATGATACAGTTTTCTTATCAAATCGTGAAATGAAAGTTACTGTTCTGGATCTTGTGTACTAACGAGGGTGTCCCTCAGGGCTCCATACTTAGTCCTACTTTGTTTTTAATTTTCAGCTTCCACCTTGGCATCTACGCTCATGACGCAGTCACTTACACCAGCTTCGAGGGTATGGCTGACACTCCGACAAGCCAATAATGCCAACTGATGTCTAAAACGACTTCAAATCTGTTCTTAACAAGGGAAAAAGATGTCTTGTTAATTCTGACGCCTCCAACACTAAACTTCTGTCCAATAATCATCTTAGAGAGCCATCTCTGCCTTCCATCAGTATGGCTGATGCTGTCCTCCAGGAAAAAGCCCTCTCAGGCTAACGTTCTCAGCTAACATTTTTTTAAGCATTTCACCCCTAGCAAGGCGGGAAGCCACTAGCACACAAGGGGTTACATAGGATTTGGAGCGAGAGCAGATAGGAATGGTAGAGGAGAGGATGAGGAGAAGGATAGTGGATAGATCAAGGCAACTGGAGATGTCGATTGACAATACATTTGAAATGTTGGTGATTATAGCTATTAGGGAAACAGGAATAGGGAAGGGAGTTCCACAGGCGAGAGGTGCGAGACATAAAGCCATTGGAGTAGAAGAGGCGGCTACATTTAACAGTTTCAACATGAAGTGGAAACATTATATTGAGTCCATTGCTCGGTCAGCGGCTAAAAAGGATTGTTCAGTGTATCGTGTGAGACAATTTTTCTCTCCAAAATCTCTGTTATATATCTATAAGTCTAACATTCGTCCATGCTTAAAATATTGCTGCCCCATATCATCCAGTGACCCTGAGCTCTGTGAAAGGATACAAAGAAGAATCAGTGATATTATTGGTCCTGATCTGGCGGTTCTGCTTCAGTTACATTCTCAACGTCAAAAAGTTGCCTCCCTGTGTCTTTTCTATAAATACTTTCATGGTAATTGTTCGGATGAGCACTTTGCTATGGTACCTAGACTTTTTTAATTGAAGCGCAAAACTAAACTGGTATCGTGATCTCATCAATTTACAGTAGAGTTGGCAAGATGTAGTCGTAAATTCTATGCTAAAAATTTTCTCGCACTTCTCGCTTGTGGGACTCCCTTACGGTTCCATTCTTTCCAGCCAACATTAATCTGCAAACATTTAAATGCAAGGTCAATCGTTATGTACAGATTATAGTGTTAATCCTTATCTACTGATTACTTACTCTTCCCGCTCATTATTAATGTTTCTGTTCCTAATTCTTCCACACTCAGTAACCTCATGCCTTAGAGGCTTTTCTGCCTTCCATGAGGTGAAACCGATTAATAAATATATATATATATATATATATATATATATATATACACGCACACACACACACACACATATATATATATATATATAGAGAGAGAGAGAGATAAGATTAGTGGTCAATATATATATATATATATATATATATACCAGCACACAATAATAGTTCAATGATTTATTCCTTTAAATGTAATTGCGGTTCGCACTACATAGGGAGAACGACGCAAAGGCTAGATGCTAGAATAAAACAACACGTTCCAGCGAAAACCCGAAACCGGAAGTACACTCCCTCGGACATTCTGACCAATCCGCATGGGTCATCCATCGCAGAACTCCTTATAAATAGCCATAATTATGCAGTCACTTTTAGTGCGGACGCTTTTACAATCCTTAGCAAGTCCCACTCAAATTACCACCTAAAAGTGTTGTAGGCCATCTATATTCTATCTTTAAAGCCTTCTCTATGTAAACAGAAGGACTTTATATTAGGCTTCCAACTAATTAACATTTAAATTTTTTTTCCCACCAATAAACTTTGTTCATTGTTCTTTTTTTTATTATATAATTTATTCTATTTACCTCGATTTAGCTCTGTTGAGTGAGATACGAAACCAGTTAGCTAGTCCGTTTTTCATTTTTACTTTTTATTATCATGAGGGTAAAACTAATTTTTGTCTGTTCATGGTAGTGATATATATATATATATATATATATATATATATATATATATATATATATTTTATATATATATATATATATATATATATATATAATTATTTATTTTAAAAATTTATAACATAAATATGTTATAAAATCACTACAAAATAGCCATTTTGTTTCAACACCCCAGTATCTTATCAAGTGATGATGTTGAATGTAAAATAAATGGTTTTAAAAGTTTCAAATTAATTAACAATCCTTCGCAAAGGAAAAAACGTTGTTACAAAAGCTAAATTGACCAATCAAAATACAAGTATAGGATATTTATTTTAAAACAAATTATAACATAAATATGTTATAAATATTTATTTAAAAAAAAATTCTAACATAAATATCATATTCATTCCGTCACCAATCATATACTTGGGTATATATATATATATATATATATATATATATATATATATATATATATATATAGTCAAGTAGTTAATACATCCGGGTCGTCTATTGCACAGCATATTATAAATAGCAGAAATTGTGACTCTGAAATTAGTACGGACTGTTTTTCTATTTTATCAATGTACCACTCTGCATATCACCTAAAGTTTCTGGAGTCCTTATATATCAGATCCCGCCAGCCTTCTCTCTGTAAAAAGAGGGATTGTTTGCTGGTTCTGAATGTTATTGGGCTCTAGTTATCCTTGAATTTTTTTCTCTCCATTAGTAATATGCAATTTAATTTACGCGTTTCTTCATTTAATTCCCAGGAATAAACTTGATAAGACTGGGACGAAACCTGTTCTTTCACTATTCAAAAAATCACGCTTAATCCTGGCTATTATTAAATTTCATACAACAAAAAATTGTACACACACACATGTTCAATTACACTTCTCTCTAGAACTTTCATACGTTTCCCTCTGAAACTTGTTTCTCACTCCCACATATACACTCTCGCTGAAATTTAGTTTTTTTTTATACCCGGAATTATATTTTTCCGTTTGAATTTGTAGGTCTGTTGAATTGGATCGTGATTACGATTCCAATGTAATAAATTATAGTGTTTAAGCTTTATATATATATATATATATATATATATATATATATATAAATAAAGAAATATAGTCTTAAGGTGTGCTATATTTATGGGATAAAGTGCTCAATATCAGACATAGAGCGTGTAAATATAAAAAAGTGAACATAAAAGTCAACACTTGGGGGCGACAGTCTGTTTCATGCTATATGCAATCGTCAGGCCTGACGATTGCATATAACATGAAACAGATGTTCTATGTTGACTATATGTTCACTTTTATATATATATATATATATATATTAAGTTTTATGGATATGATTTTGTGACCTTAGGTTTCACGCTTTTTGCACAACCATATGCCAATCTTCCTCAGCCATAAAGTAAAGTCTTGGACTGAAGAAGACTGGCATTATGTTGTGACTATACATTACATGAGGTAATTTTGGATTTTTGTTGTAAAAATATATATATGCTATGTTATAATAAATACATTTAGCTCTCTCTGT